AGGAATGTACTCCTGGACAGAGCACCTGGCACCAGCAAGAATGACAGAGGGTGGAAGGGTCCTACCATCAAAGGTAATCTTCACAACCCGGAGGGGTTGACGGCGACTACCACGAGGGGGACGAGTAAACGTGTCCACCTGGAGAATAGAATGGCCCTGGGCAGCGAGGATATGTCGAATATCGTCGTGGCAGTCGCGTAGGTCCCGAACACCGGTCGCAACATGGGGCGGGAGCAAAATAGTGCCAACACTGGCATTCAACTGGACGTTCTTCGAGACCCGAACGGGGGTCTCGCCAAGGCAGGATAAGGCAGCCAAGCGGGAAGCAGCATCCTGAGAAGGAGCAGCAACGACACGCGTACCGAGACGAGTGGGGTTAAAAGTAATGGAGGCATCCACGGAATCAATGAGATGTCGATGAAGGGAGAAATCGTCAGGAGGCGCAGAATCAAGAGGGAGGAGATCAAAATATTTGGCCCACGAAGCGGGACCAAACAAGGCTTGATAGGTAGCAGAACTGGAAGGAATCGAGCGAGGGCGGCCGTGACGAGAACGGCGGTGAGAACCCCCAGAGAGAGAGGGGTTAAAAGGCGCAGTAGTAACAACTAGAGAAGGAGCCGCGCCAGGGGACGAGGTAGTCACCACTGGGGGCTTGGGGCTCGACCCAACCACAGAGGAGGGAGGGGAGCCAGGGGAAGGAGTCAGAGAGGCCAAAGGAGGAGCAAGGTCGGGGCCCAATGCAGCGGAGGCTACAGAGCCCGGTCTTCCAATACGGACCGACTCGGGGGCTTGGTCGCCCACCCCACGAGCCTGAGAAGGTAAACCAGAAGAAGCCGAAGCAGGGGTAATCATCTTGACGAAAGAAGAATTCACTCACGAATGTGCCCCCACACCCACCATGGAGCCACAATTAGAGGCAGGACACCCAACAAGAAGCTATCGCCGATCTTGTCGGGGCCTCCTAGGGGTGCGTCGTGAGTATACGCCCCACAAACGCCACCTTAAGAAACCGACAGTCCGTCGAGATCGGGTTCAGTGACGAAGTGGGGATTGACAATAAAAGGTTCCCCTCGCTCTCGACGTCGGGTACTGCAGTTCTACGGGTGCAAGAGTATGCCTCCTCAAGCACCCGGGCGTCAAAATAGAAGAAGTCCAAGGGAAGAACCAGAACGAGCAAAAGGTCGGCAGGAAACGGCAAGCAGATAGGAGAAGAGGGGGGAGAAAAACGAAACAGAAGGAAAAGGAAAGGAAAAGATGCCCAGCAGAATTGGAGAGGACGGCAGCAGGAGCACAAGGCTAGAAAAGGACAGGACTGTCCCAAGGAGCATCACACTCCGGCAGCCGCCCACCAAGCCCCCACACGGCGACAACGAGCTGAGCGGGGAGGGGGTCGCCTCAGGAAAAGATAAACGCTCCCGGTGCTTCAGGTTGAGGACGGCTGCCTCAAGCTTGTAATGGACACACGCACGGGAGAAGGTAGGATGGGCCTCACCGCAGTTGAGGCAACGAGCCTGGGGAGAAGTGCACTCCAACTTAGAGTGACCTTCGCCACCACACAAAGGACAGAGGGAGACAGTCCCGGAGCAGCGGAGGGCACCATGCCCAAACCTCCAGCACTTGTTGCAGAGCCGAGGAGAAGGAATGTACTCCTGGACAGAGCACCTGGCACCAGCAAGAATGACAGAGGGTGGAAGGGTCCTACCATCAAAGGTAATCTTCACAACCCGGAGGGGTTGACGGCGACTACCACGAGGGGAACGAGTAAACGTGTCCACCTGGAGAATAGAATGGCCCTGGGCAGCGAGGATATGTCGAATATCGTCGTGGCAGTCGCGCAGGTCCCGAACACCGGTCGCAACATGGGGCGGGAGCAAAATAGTGCCAACACTGGCATTCAACTGAGCGTTCTTCGAGACCCGAACGGGGGTCTCGCCAAGGCAGGATAAGGCAGCCAAGCGGGAAGCAGCATCCTGAGAAGGAGCAGCAACGACACATGTACAGACGAGTGGGGTTGAAAGTAATGGAGGCATCCACGGAATCAATGAGATGCCGATGGAGGGAGAAATCGTCAGGAGGCGCAGAATCAAGAGGGAGGAGATCAAAATATTTGGCCCACGAAGCGGGACCAAACAAGGCTTGATAGGTAGCAGAACTGGAAGGAAACGAGCGAGGGCGGCCGTGACGAGGACGGCGGTGAGAACCCCCAGAGAGAGAGGGGTTAAAAGGCGCAGTAGTTACAACGAGAGAAAGAGCCACGCCAGGGGACGAGGTAGTCACCACTGGGTGCTTGGGGCTCGACCCAACCACAGAGGAGGGAGGGGAGCCAGGGGAAGGAGTCAGAGGCGCCAAAGAAGGAGCAAGGTCGGGGCCCAATGCAGCGGAGGCTACAGAGCCCGGTCTTCCAATACGGACCGACTCGGGGGCTTGGTCGCCCACCCCACGAGCCTGAGAAGGTAAGCCAGAAGCAGCCGAAACAGGGGTTATCATCTTGATGAAAAGAAGAATTCATTCACGAATGTGCCCCCACACCCACCATGGAGCCACAATTAGAGGCAGGACACCCAACAAGAAGCTATCGCCGATCTTGTCGGGGCCTCCTAGGGGTGCGTCGTGAGTATACGCCCCACAAACGCCACCTTAAGAAACCGACAGTCCGTCGAGATCGGGTTCAGTGACAAAAGGGGGATTGACAATAAAAGGTTCCCCTCGCTCTCGACGTCGGGTACTACAGTTCTACGGGTGCAAGAGTATGCCTCCTCAAGCACCCGGGCGTCAAAATAGAAGAAGTCCAAGGGAAGAACCAGAACGAGCAAAAGGTCGGCAGGAAACGGCAAGCAGATAGGAGAAGAGGGGGAGAAAAACGAAACATTAGGAAAAGGAAAAGATGCCCAGCAGAATTGGAGAGGACGGCAGCAGGAGCACAAGGCTAGAAAAGGACAGAGGACTGTCCCAAGGAGCATCACACTCCGGCAGCCGCCCACGAAGCCCCCACACGGCGACAACGAGCTGAGCGGGGAGGGGGTTAGAGTATTGTAAAACTTATCGCGAGAAGGAAGGTGTGGTTCATCTAACACAGACATAGAGGATAAATAATCATAGCAGAATGATTGTTTACCCTTCAGCAGTTTTGGGATGGCTGCTTTATTTACCCCTTTTAACATAGCCAAAGTGAATGTGGTAGGTTTCCCACTATCAATATGATCCTTGACTATTCTTCCTAGCGAGCCGTTGAGAAGGGCTAAACTATCCAAAAATCTTAAGTTGTTCACATCAACTTTCATAAATTTAAATCCATCCCTAGCTAATATATCTATTTCACTTCCTGGTCTATCTCTCATCTCGTTTAGGATTACTTCTAAATCATAGGAAGCGTTGTGGGAAAAAGTGTATAGGAACTTGTATGAATTTATACACTGCAAATTACATCTATCACAGTAAGCTGCTTGATAATTGTGGAATCTTACTGTGTGGTCGTGATGACGGACTTTGATTACATCTTCTCCGTTAAAAGGTTCATCACAGAGTTCACAGGCAGTTTTTTGTCTCAAATATTGCTTGCTGTTGCTGCGACATGTGAAGTTCACAGGATACTAACCCCTTCTTAATTCTAGCCCATGATACTTCTAGCGTGGTTACAAAATGATTGACCGCACCTTTACCCAAATAAGTATCTTTCTCAACAATATTCATCTGTCTGTCAATGATGATGTACGCATACGCCACTGCGTTGTGACGTGATTCTATCATTCCCTTAGGGTTCGAGCGATCTAACATGCACTCAAAGTCATAAAAGCACATGTGACTTGGACCATATCCCCGTCCATAGTTACGGAAAGTAATCTTCCTCTCTGGTGGGTAAAATTTGAGAGTCTGATGTACTTTGCATGTACTTTCGGGACTCTGCATGCGATCTGCTGGGAGTGATATCATACAACAATGACAAAAGCTGTGATGACTTGGGATGCGATCTGGATTGCTGACCATATCCTTAACTAATACTAAGTGTTGAGCTTCCAACATCAGCAATGGTATGACATCTGTATATCCCCCTCTTCTCTTCCTAGCTAGTGTGATGTAGTGTCGTTGTCGCATAGCACTTTCATCTCTTTCTAGTGAATAGATGAATATACTGACTTTATTCATTTTCTGTACCTCGTGAATATCCTCAAACGTCACTGCAGAATTGACATCTGCTGGCCAATTAATGTGTCTGAGACACCATCTCGCTTCTCCACACTGTTTACGAATATTATCTAGATGCATCCCCTTAGCTAAACATTTATAAGCTGCAACACACTGCATAAGGCAAATATCAGCCTCTCCCTCTGGATTGAAAATCAACTGCTTTCCGCGCAAGCCTTCAGGATAGTCTACATGCGAGCCTAATCTTATTGGGTGTTCAATCTGACCACAGTTAATGTAAAACCCGGTGAGCCACTCAACCAAGACATTGGACCCCTCCTTCTCTTCAAGGTACTGGGTTATTTTCCCTGTCAATTCGTCAGCCCAAAAATCAATAAATGTATCTACTTCCTCTAGAGTTATTGTTTGCCCCTCACCTCGTATGGGAAAGCCATCGTTATTTATAGGATCCAATAGATTCTCCTCCTCCTCACCGTCTTGCTGTACATTTAAATTCCGCACAATTAGAGTGATGTCTGGGTAAATTAGGAGGGATGGGTGTTGTGGGGAGAAAAGGGATCGAATCTCATTAATGAAAAATTCACTATATGTTCTCAGATAGAGTCCTGGGGAGGTGTTAACATGTACTGGTTTGGAGAATGAAAGCCGAACATAGCCGCCATTATAGTTATCAATTCGATCCAGTAGCTGAGGTTGAATTTCTAGGGCAGGTGGGGGAGAGGGGGAGAGCGCTGGTGGGGGTGATGGGAGAGGACAAGGGGGGGTGGGGGTGGTGATAGCCCCCCTCCGAGATGAATGGGCGACACTGCACGGTCAGCTATTATACCAGACGGTGCTAACCAGTCAGAATTGACAGACGCTGACGAGTCATGGTCAAGGTCTGCTGAGCTGTCGTCTGAGTCAAGGCTATTCTCACGGACTGAGAATGCTGTTGTTAACACTAGTGTTCTCCTCACTGCTGCTGATGCTGCTGTTGCTGCTGCTGCAGCTGTCGCTGATTGATTGGGGTATGGGGCTGGGGGAGGAACGGGGGGTTGAGTGAGCGTGTGAACGACCCCTTCCTTCCCTGTGAGCCGAGGGGTGCGAGCCGGATATGGGTAATGTCCACTCTGCTGAGTTGGGTGTGTCACTCTCACTGTCGCTCTCAGCGCTGCTGGATACCAAATCTATGCACAGCGGTGTGACATCTGTAAAAAAAAAGAAAAACATATTATCTCTAGAAAGAATGAAAGCATATATATATTGAGGTGAGGGAACAGACTAGTGGGAATTAATATGTTTAGGAAATAGGCTGAAATAAGACAGTAATAACTTACTTATGTCCTGGTGAGGGGGTTGAGCTGCTGTGAGGCTATGAATCCTTAACGTTGTGTTAACTGGGCGTGATAATGTCTCATAGCCCTCCATCTGCTGGCGCTGCCGTCCTTGTTGAAGGGGCGGTGGATGCTTGCGAGTGACGTCAGCTCTCCTTAGCTGGGTGTGGGACGGATGGGATACCGAATCGATGACGTCTATCTGTTCACTCCGTCGATTAAGGTAAGGATTATAACCTGAAATGGAACAAAATGATATTCAGCATGGGTGAATGTGGAAAATATGTTTATTATGCATGTGTGTTTGCTTGCTTGCAACTGGATGTAATACAGATACGAGAAGTATATTTATATATGTTACCTACGTTTATGTGAAGTTTCATTCCGGCGATGACCTCCTCGAGGGGCAGGTGAGCAATAAGGACACTTCACGGTTTTGTAAACTGAAATTGGAAAGAACATATTTAACTGTGTGGAATGTAATAGCCCGAAAGAGTAAATATTCTCACACTATAAGAGAGATAATAGTTTACACACGCGATATTTCACCTGTGGATGCCATAAAATGAACTGTGGAATATTAAATAAGAATAACACTCACGGTTGTCACAGAAAATCTGCTGACGTCGCTTGCATTTGATGTTGTAATGGCCTAGGGGCGGTTTTTCACAGCTTGCGCATTGCAGCCGACATAGTTGATTTGGTGATGGAATATAAAACACACCGCATTTCATGCAGGCTGTTGAGGTTCGTCTTTCCATGACGCGGAGCTGTATGGTGAGTGTGTGTAGCGAATGAAGACTCGCAGTGAACTAACGGCGCGTTTGTGTGTGAGGGGAGGGAAACGATCCCGGTCAAATGAGAAGTGATTGATGGTTGGCAGGTGAGGGCCTGCTAGCGGAAGTAAGAACCTCGCCCCTCCTTAACGAATCCGCAGTGGATCGAGACCCATGCTGGGGTGAACATCTCCAGAGAACTCTGAAGACATCGAAAAACCATTAAAGCAAATGGACCACATCCGCAAGAGGCTGCTCTCTCATACCCCCCTCAACACTTACGGCTTCCTGTAGGGGAAGCTAATGGACGTCACTTATCCTCTCAGGTATGGGGGCTCTCCTCTCCCTACACAACATAACCTACATACTCCTCCTCTTCCTCCTCCTCCTCTTCCTCCCTACATGACTGCATACCAACCACTTAGCTTCCAGCCCCTACCCAACATGACACTCAAGTGACGCCTGGCCAGATGCCATGCGTCATAACATCCGGGGAAACCTTTGAGATGATGTACACATACCCACATACTTATCTTCCCCTCTTACCTACATGACCCACAACATCCCTTACATTTTACCCCTATGACCCAAAACGTCCCCCTGGACGCAAACCGTCCCATTCTACGGACTCCCACACCACTTTTGACTATGACCGAGTTCGATCCCTGAGGTTCTCCTCAGGTTTGGGACGGTTGTAGTCCTCAACTTCGTGACAGAAGCATTATCAACTGTGGACAGTGGCCAGCAGCATTATCATCCGTGTACAGTGCCAGCAGCATTATCACCCGTGGACCTCGTAGGGTTCTCCTCGGGTTTGGGACGGTCGTAGTCCTCAACTTCGTGACAGAAGCATTATCAACTGTGGACAGTGGCCAGCAGCATTATCATCCGTGAACAGTGCCAGCAGCATTATCACCCGTGGACCTCGTAGGGGGGCCTCGTAGCCTGGTGGATAGCGCACAGGACTCTTAATTCTGTGGCGCGGGTTCGATTCCCGCACGAGGCAGAAACAAATGGGCAAAGTTTCTTTCACCCTAAGTGCCTCTGTTACCTAGCAGTAAATAGGTACCTGGGAGTTAGTCAGCTGTCACGGGCTGCTTCCTGGGGTGTGTGTGTGGGGTGAAAAGTGCCAGCAGCATTATCAACTGTGGACAGTGGCCAGCAGCATTATCAACTGTGGACAGTGCCAGCAGCATTATCACCCGTGGACAGTGCCAGCAGCATTATCACCCGTGGACAGTGCCAGCAGCATTATCAACTGTGGACAGTGCCAGCAACATTATCAACTGTGGACAGTGCCAGCAGCATTATCAACTGTGGACAGTGCCAGCCCCATTATCAACTGTGGACAGTGCCAGCAGCATTATCAACTGTGGACAGTGCCAGCAGCATTATCATCCGTGAACAGTGCCAGCCCCATTATCAACTGTGGACAGTGGCCAGCAGCATTATCATCCGTGGACAGTGCCAGCAGCATTATCACCCGTGGACAGTGCCAGCAGCATTATCAACTGTGGACAGTGCCAGCAGCATTATCAACTGTGGACAGTGCCAGCAGCATTATCAACTGTGGACAGTGCCAGCAGCATTATCAACTGTGGACAGTGCCAGCAGCATTATCAACTGTGGACAGTGCCAGCAGCATTATCACCCGTGGACAGTGCCAGCAGCATTATCAACTGTGGACAGTGCCAGCAGCATTATCAACTGTGGACAGTGCCAGCAGCATTATCACCCGTGGACAGTGCCAGCAGCATTATCAATTGTGGACAGTGCCAGCAGCATTATCAACTGTGGACAGTGCCAGCCCCATTATCAACTGTGGACAGTGCCAGCAGCATTATCAACTGTGGACAGTGCCAGCAGCATTATCAACTGTGGACAGTGCCAGCAGCATTATCAACTGTGGACAGTGCCAGCAGCATTATCATCCGTGAACAGTGCCAGCCCCATTATCAACTGTGGACAGTGGCCAGCAGCATTATCATCCGTGGACAGTGCCAGCAGCATTATCACCCGTGGACAGTGCCAGCAGCATTATCAACTGTGGACAGTGCCAGCAGCATTATCAACTGTGGACAGTGCCAGCAGCATTATCAACTGTGGACAGTACCAGCCCCATTATCAACTTTGGACAGTGCCAGCAGCATTATCAACTGTGGACAGTGCCAGCCCCATTATCAACTGTGGACAGTGCCAGCCCCATTATCAACTGTGGACAGTGCCAGCCCCATTATCAACTGTGGACAGTGCCAGCCCCATTATCAACTGTGGACAGTGCCAGCCCCATTATCAACTGTGGACAGTGCCAGCCCCATTATCAACTCTGTAGAGTGTTAGTCCGATTATTACCAGAAACACTATGCATGCATGTTTGAAAAAATATTCAAAAGTTATATTCTTTGAAAAAAAAAAGTGTATATAGTGGAGTTACTTGATGATGGAGGCATCATCTCGGTGCTTCCAAAAGGGGGTCTTGAATCATCAAGACACTTAGTTAATTCGATAGCATCAAAGGTTAAATTACTGACAGCGTGTTGTTTTCTATTGGGTTAAAAAGATGTGATTGAGGTGATCCAGAACTCAGGTTTGAATTCCTGAATTGCTCCAGTTATTTGCACAAAGATATATTTTGCCATTGTGTTTTCCTATGGCATGATATATCTTTGATTGTGTATGCCCCAGAATCTTTCGTATTATTTGTAACCCAATTTTAATCATTACAAAAGTCTTTATATAATACTACACGCATGTGCATGAGAATAAAATCCATGAGAACATTTAACAGCATACCTTCATTGAGATGTGGACTGTTGAAAGCTCTTCGCATTCACGAAGCCAGTCCTCTTCAGCCACATTGTGCTGATCAGGTCTGTGTGTGATTGTGACAGCCTCCAGTGGTCTGTTAAGTCTCCTCAACATCTGAGGAGTCTGCAGCCGAGTCTTCTCTTCCTCTCCAGGTGTTGTCATAACCACAACACTGATATCCTCCTGCTCCAACAGCTTCATTGCCCCCTGGTTCTGCAGAACCAGACCATAGAATTGGTCCTGGAATTGTTCGTGGTCAGTCAAGTCTCCCCGTTGTTCCCAGTACTTCCCCAGTTGGAACAGTTCCTCTAAACAGTTAGTAGCGAGGCTTATGAAGCTGCTCTTCTCTTCCTCCAACATGGGCAGTAATTTTCTGCTCATGCTTCTTGGGTGAGCTTCGTATGGTCTTGTTACAACTGTTCCCACCGCTGATACCTGGGTACCTTTCCTGATAAGGGCCTCCTTATCAGGAGGCCCTTATCAGGATTGATGAATTGTGGAGGTCAACCACAATTGATCGGGAACTGAGCAGCAGCCGTGGCATTGTGCTGGATGCAGCAGCTTGGACACATCAGCTGACCATTCTTGACAGCTTTTTCAATGCACTCAGCGCAGAATATGTAGCCACACGGCACTAAGCGAGGCCGTAACAGATTTTCATAATTATTAAAACAGACTGAACATTGTTCTGGCGGGTTATCCTGTGGGAAAGAAAATTTGTTTAGGTTAGATGCATATTTTTTTTTAATGCTAACCCCATTTATTTTAAATGACACTGAAAACTGATCTAAAAATCAATTCACTAATGTCTGCCATCAAACTTATGCATAAAATTTACAAAACCTTTTACATAATGCTTTGTAACAAGTCCTCCAATCAAATTAATCTAAGAATTAACAATTTCAAATAATGTACAGATTAGAAGTAAATTCCTTTGGTACACATTGACAAGTTGAACATACGTTGCCATTTACAAAGAAAGTATAAAATCTCTTCAACATTATAGCCATTCACTGTTACCTGAAACCATACTTATTAGCTCGCACTGTCATGGAGACACTAATATTCGCTCGTCTCTCCATAACTCGCCTACTGTATCTGTGCTTAGAAATCTATAGTTGTTGATAACAAATATAAGAATTTTCCGTTTAAAATGATCTTCGACCTAATTGATCAACAAATCAACAATTAGAACTAACGAAATCCGGTTCCAGATAGTACTCAGCTCCTTTACTTCATTTATATGAAGTGTCAAGTGTGCTCTACATCTTTAAACTACGTCCTCAAAAGTTTGCTCTTCATCTTCAAACTCTGCAGTGCAATGCTAATCCTGACTAAGCATTTCCTGTAAATAGTAACAGAATACAGGGGCAAAAATATATTTTTGACATTCCAAGAGTGCAACTTGGTCGAAGCAAAAATGCACTGCGAATCAAGGGTCTTAACTGTGGAATGACCTTCCTATTAAGATTACAATTGCCATTTATCTTGCTCAGTTTAAAAGAAAACCTAAGACCTATTATGTGAGATTTTTTGAAATTCCTACTGATGTTACGTTAATGTAACTACCTCGCTTGGGAGGCAGACCTCAAACAGAAAGGACTACTAAGATACAGATTTTACTTTGTGATGAGACCATAGGAAAAAACGGGAGTAACCTCAAGGATTGCACATATGGTGGAATTCCATCCACTTAGGTCGCTGACTCCTTCTAGTGATAAAAACCAAATAAGGGTAACCGACGGATTCTCGTTTCACATTTTTTAGGAAGTGTGGCGGTATGAATTAATTCAAATTCAAGAGCAGACATATAAATTCATAAGTAGAAATGAA